TAGAGAATAGAAAGAATAAGAAGAGAAAGAAAATTAGAAGAGAGTAACGTAAGGAAAGAATTAAGAAAAGAGTTAAGGGGATAGAGGAGTAGAGGATTTACTTACTGAGCCCTGTTGTTTTCTGTGTTTTTGCAGGAAATAGGTGAGGATGCGGTCGGATGGACGTCGGCAATCGAAGAGCAATAGTTACACTGTCTACTATTTTTGATGGTTTTGGTACATGAGATTTTGTACTATGTAAAGAATGTATATATTTTAATAAAAGAAAAATTTGGGCCCAACTACTTTTGTTACTATACATGTATTTTATTATGTGTATTTTATGAGTATCTTTTTAGAAAGCAGTTATTACAAATACCACATGAAAATTTCTGCTAATTGTCTCACCGGACCTAGCTATTTGGCTTTTAAGCACCCTATTCTTGATATGGTACGAAATTATGTGAAGAAAACTACCCACCATTACTTCTACAAATGTATTTCTACTTGATTTTAGCCCGCTTCATTTTGTAGTAACTCACATAATTTGAAAAATGCTCTCCTATCCATTCTACAATTCTCTAAACAATGCCTATCACTTTCAAAAGAAAAAAAATTATGTAAATAGGGTCCTAATGTTCTGTTTACTACTAGATTCACTGACATATGATATGCCACGTCTATGTCTACTCCTATTCTTAAGCAGCATGGCAAATGCCATAAAAACTAGCATGGTGTTTAAGGTTTCCATCAAATGTAAATACAAAATCATAAGTGTGACCAAATGCTTCTACCTTTGAGGTAAATGAGCCATTGTTGTTACACATAAGCCATAAAGGAACAATGAATTACTGTCTTAATAAAAAGGAACAAGACATAACATTATGTTCAATACAAACCGCAACCCATATCTACACATGGGATGAACAATATACCCACTTTTGAAGCCAAACACTTTGCCTTTTCTTTCATCACCTACATCAAGCCTTATCCATTCAACCCAATTCTAAGCCATATCCTATAGCACTTGAGAATGCCAAAGTGATGAGACAAGTTAAGAAGGCTAAACTCCGTATAAAAAATATGGTGAGTACAATAGAAATGTTTGTTGTTTCTTCATTCAAAAGAGAGAGAGAGAGAGAGAGAGAGAGAGAGAGAGAGAGAGAGAGAAGAGAAAAAAAGTATAGCATCTTGGTCACCAAAATGAATTCAAGAAGGAGAGCTTGCCTTTCAATTACAAAGAAGAGGAAGCTTTGGTATGTTTCAAGCTTTAGTTTTCCCATTCCTTTCTCTCTTAACCCCAACCAAGCCTCACGTTACAACCATAATAAAGACCACTGATCTTTTGGGAAATCTTTCTTGGAGATAAGGAATGTATGTCTATTCCTTGTACTTGGTTCTTTTCATGAGACCTATTTTGTGAACGTATGAGCATTTATTGATTATACCCATATTCATGTTCGAGAATATTTTATTCACTATTCTTTGTCTATATAACTTATACTCCTATATGCTTGATGAGTGTGTAAGTCTAGGATCGGTGTGATATAATGAGTGAATCTTGTGACATCTAAAGTTAAAGCAAATTCCTATTCTTGACATTAAGTTTGGGGGAGATTGAGACAGATATGTTTTGAGCTTTGGAATATGGTAGTGTGGTGTATGGTATTTGCATAAAATGCTTTGTTGTGCTAAGATTTTGAATACAATTGCGTGAACATATTTAGTTGCTAATTATAGTGTACTTTAAGATTTGATGTTTTAGTTGAGTTTTTCTTTCTTTCCTTCATTGTTATTTTGCCCGAGGACAAGTAAAATCTAGGTTTGGGGAAATTTGATAAACCAATATTTTCCCAAGTATTTTTGTTCAGTTTTTGGCAGTTATATGCGTGTTTTACCTTAAGAATATGTTACTTTGAGGTGGTTTTTACTATTTTGAAGGTACATGATCTTTTGGGATGCATTTGGAAGAAATCATGTAAAATGGGTCGAGAATCGGAGTTGAAAAGAGGAAGAAAAATGCGAAGCAACTGGATGGTACTGCGACAAAGTTTTTTTGCACCGCGGTGTTAAAAAGTGACCTGGGTAGAAAGTTAATGCCACGGTGTGAAGAATTTGGTGCTGCAGCATGAAAGAGTTTAAGGTTTACGGATTTGGCATCGCAGCACCATAAAATCACACCGCGGCATAGATCGCGGAGAAAATAAAATTCTTACCTTTTCTAACTCCTACTTGAATTTGTGCTTTCCCAAAAATACCCCTAGCAAAGAAAAACTATAAATAGGACATTGTAATTTATTTTAGGAGAATTCTCTTTGACCTAAATTGAGGGTTTATATTTTTGAGAGTGTTGCTTCATTGAGAGAAATTATGAGTTTTCAACAAGGGAGAGAATGAAGAGGATCAATCTACTTCAATTCCTAGGCGATTTCTTTTTAGTTACATCTTATTTTGCAATATGATTAGTTTTTCATTCATTGAGTTCATTGGTTTGAGTTTGATTATGAACAACTAAATATATTGTGGGAGTTTAGTTTAACCATCATGACTGTATTGGGTATTGGGTATTTGGTGATTCGTTTTATGAAAATTTTAGATTGTTTCTTGTTTAATTGTTCTTCATAATATTAATTATAATTTGTTGACTGGCCAATTACTTTTTATAATTAAAATTGAGAATTAGGGTTCTAGCGATCATCTTGCCTTAATTAAGCTCTATTAAACAAGAGTTCAAATTGAATATATGATCATTGTTTTGATTTGGATGGTTGTGTGATTTCCTAGTGCAGATTACGATTAATTAGTTAACAACTTAACCATAGAAATTAATTAGTTAATTATGAATATAGAATAAACATGATCATTGGAATTCTCTATGGCTTAGTGGAAAAATCAACAATCTAAACTTAGGATTTAATTGTTTTATTTGCCAAATATTCCAATACATGATTGAGGAGTTAGCTAAATCCCCACTATCACTCTCATTGATTTAATTCACATTTAGCCAATTGCATTCGTTAATTTTAATTAATTTACAGTTTTATTTTCGATTAATCTCATCAAACTTTTGGTTAGAGTGTTTAGGATTTTATTAATTATTTAGTTCAGTTGTTAAAGATAATAAGTTAAGAATTTAGACCACTACAATTCCATGAGAGATCGACCTTAGGAGTATACTTATCGCTAGCTATTAGTGATTCGTGCGCTTGCAAGTATTAAATTTGCACATTAGAGCACCTACCTAATTAGCATCAGAATACACGAAAATCTGTGTGTGACCCCTGTTTTCATATAACAAACCTTTGCCGGATGCACCCTTGATATACCTTAGAATCCGAACAATTGTGTCCCAATGACTATCACATAGAGACTATAGGAATTGACTAGTGACACTGACAGAGAAGGAATATCACGTCGTGTGATGGTGAGATAATTAAGATTACCAATCAGTCTTCAGTATCTTCCAGGGTCAGCAAGAGGCTCTTCCTGTCCAAGTGAGAGCTTTCAATAGGATCCATAGGAGAGTCTATTGATCTGCAATTTGACATCCCTGTTTCTTCCAAAGTATCTAGTGCATACTTTCTTTGAGAGATAACAATACAATAGCTGAATTACACAACTTTTATACCAAGGAAGTATCTAAGTAATCCAAATCTTTGTCTGAAAGTGGCTGAACAAGTGTTTCTTCAACTATTCAATACCATCTTGATCACTTCCTATAATGACAATATCATTGACATAGACAACTAGATAGATACATTACTCTGGTGATGTATGTTTATAGAAAACCAAATGACCAAAGTCACACCGCACCATACCAAACTCTTGGATGACAATACTGAAGCATCCAAACTAGGCACAAGGAGACTGTTTTAAGCCATATAGTGAGTGACGAAGTTTACATACTAAGGCAAACTCCCCCTGAGCAACAAAACAAGGTGGTTGCTCCATATAGATTTCTTCCTGAAGCTCACCATGAAGAAATGCATTCTTAATGTCTAATTGGAATATATGCCACTAGCCATAGATAAGAACGAGCGCACAGAAGACATCTTAGCCGCAAGGGAAAATGTGTCATGATAATCCAACCCATAAGTCTGAGTGTACCCTTTTGCTGCCAAACGAGCCTTTAATCGATCAACCTGTCCATCCGAACCAATTTCGATAGTATAAATCCAGCAATAACCAATAGTAGAATGTCTTCGAGGCAAAGCAACCAATTCCCAAGTGTTATTATTATGCAAAGTAGTCATCTCTTTGATAATCCGTAAATTATACAGTTTTTATTTGATCTTTTTGTCGGATTTCAGGTACTTTCTAGTGCATTTTTACTTTTGTACTTAGATTCTGTTTTGTTTATATGTATAGTAAATTTCACTTGTTTGTTTAATTTCAGCAGGTTATCGAAAAACTATTTTAAATCCCACTGGATTGGTTCTGTATTATCCAGTATGTACAGCAATCAAGGGAAATTAAACAAACAAAATGAGTGATGTTCGAAAGGCTTGTTGAAAAAGTTATTTCTAGTGTGCAGTAACCTTCAGAAATCAAACGGCCTTTTTAGTTGTTTTAAGTACACTGACTTGAAATAGAATACAACTTTAACAGGAGGTGGTTTCAAAATCATGGGTTTCTTATTCTTTTTTATTCGGTGAAAGCCTTGAGATGACCTCAGACGCAAAGGTAAGAGACTAATTCTCAATCGGGGTTTGGGTAAATGCCCGTGATCACAAGTTGCTTCTAGTGAAATATGAATCATTGAGATTACAGGTAAAGTTTGGGTAAATGCCCGTGATCACAAGTTGCTTCTAGTGAAATTTGAATCATTGAGATTACAGGTAAAGTTTGTCTATTGGGAATCTAATTACCAGTTAGATCACAGCTCATGGGTTTCTTATTCTTCATTTGCATGTATTATGACATAGGAAGCAACTTCCAATTATAAATTTAAATTGACTGAAAAGAGAACAGTGCTAAAATGTAAAATCATTCCAACGAAAACCTATAACAGAAACCTTACCGCTTTATTTGGCAAAGAGCAAGAGCAAGAAGATTACTTTCACATAATGAACTTTATAAATCCAGACCAGATCCTTGAAACTTCTCTCGAGTAATGTCATCAAGTCGGTCTTTCATTTCAGGTGTTAAGCAGTTCTTCCAGTCCCCAACATTGCCAAGTCTGAAATATGTCTTGTAAGCTAATCCATCCCAAGGGTCTATCCCTGATTTGTTGACTTCCAAATTCTTCAGCCTTTCCAAGCTGCACCTCCATAATATCTCATCTACCTCTTCTTCATTAACAAAAGGCTTTCCAAGGTATGAAGCTAATTTCTTGACTTGTCCTCTTGTGTCTTTCTTCATCTCTTCATACTTTAAGAAGAGAATCTTCTCAGGTCTCTTTAGACTCTCATTCCAGTACCCTAAAACATGATCATGGAAAGGCCCGAAAGTATGAACCCCTTTGCAAAAGCTGTCGAAGGTGTCGCCTATAGAGTGTGGCTCTTGCCCTGCTGCTGCATTTGCGTTCATCAAGTGCCATAAGGAGACGAATGCGTCCTTTGGGTCTCGCGCAATATACACAATCTTGCAGCCGGATTTTTGGATGGTTTCTGGGAGTATTGAGTATGGCAAGTGAGTTCGGAATAGCCTTGGAGAGAGCATACCTGAAAGATCAGGATTTGGGTTTCCACTGTAAATTTTAATTTCCAAAGATGGCATCAAGGCGTTGGGGTGGTTTGTGACTAAAGGGTCATCTTCTTCTTCTCCTCCTCCAGTAGGATTGATGATGGATGGTATAAGAGCCTTGAGCCAAGTGGTGCCCGTCTTTGGACAAGAAGCAAGAATAATATCATCATCACGTGCCTTGAAGTGTGACCTTGCAGCCATGGCAGCTTCAAGATGAGGTGGGTAATACCAGAAACCTTCCCACTGATAATGCTCAAACATTCTCCAACATATCGCTCTTGGAAGTTCATCAAATAATACAGAAGAAGAAGAGGAAGAAGATTTCAGCGTACTAGAGGTTTCCATTGGAAGAGAATATGGATTGGAATTGGAGTCTTTCTCTTTTAGGTTTTAAAGGAATCACTGGCCAGTGGCCACCGCATTGAACGGCATTCTCTCGCTATTTACTTTGCATTACAGCTGGATTCCAGGACTTTGTCTCTGACTGCAACAAAATATAAGCAAAGCTGTTCATATATTAATTATATAGACTTCGAAACTTGAAAGATTGAATTGAGAGGTTGTCCTAATTATATATATATATATTTTTTTAGAAAGGTTAGTGCTACAAAAACTCTTTGTACGAAATGCCGTGGCAAGTCTAGACACATAACTTGCCCCGTCATCACTTTCCACATCACTATTTTATTAAATATTTAATAATTATTAATTATATTAATTAAAATATTTCAGTTTTCGCCAGCCGCCAAGCCACCCGAGGCCAAAGTGCGGCCAACTACCAATCCCTTGTCTTCCTCTTCCTGAAATTTTAGTTTTTTCTTCTGTTCTCTTTTTTTCTTACTGTCAATAAAAAATACATTATAAAACATAATTAATTATAAGCCTTCTATCTTCAAATTCACCTAATCCAATTTCTTAAGAAAAATTAATAATAAACTGAAGAAATAAAAAATTGAGCCAAACACCAGATCTGGGCCGTGAAGACTCTTATTTCTGAATTTTTTTTTTTTTTTTTTTTTTTCCTTGGAAAGACTTCTTATATTAGTATCGTAACTTCCTCCATCTTTCAAGCTAAGCAATCACGTTGAGTTAACAATTCAAGAATAAAATAAAGTGAACAAATTTCTTATTGCCATCAGAGTACTAAAAGTTGACAAGCAAATTAATTGCTCCAACAGTCGAGAGATACGAGAAAGAGGAACCACGTCATGCCGTGATGGGCAAAGCCCAGAATATCGGACTGGGATAATCATCTGCCCAAGTTTTTAGACCGTAGACTTATTGAATAGGTGAGCTCTCAGCTTCAAAAATTCCAAGTCAGGGCTTGATTAGTCAATAACATAAGAACAAAACTTTAACAGTACTGTATATTCCATATCACGGCTTTCTTATTCTTGAGTTACATGCATTACAATTAGACGAAAAGTATTATTCATGATAGAAAAGTTAATCTGTTAATTGAAAATTCTGCAGCTTGTATATAATATGTTCAAGTAATGATTACAAAGAAATACAAGTNCGCAGCCTTATTTTCTACTCCCGATCGATACTGTATGACAAAATTCAATCCCAGCAGCTTGATGACCCATTTCTGTTGACTTTCACTCAACAATTTTTGGTCAGTCAGGAAGTGCAGGCTCCGTTGGTCTGTTCGGATAACAAACTGCTGTCCTAGTAGGTAATGACGCCACTTTTGAGTAGCTAGGACCACGGCCATGAGTTCCCGTTCATAAACTGACTTTAACTGAGACTTCATCGACAACCCTTTACTTATGTATGTGAGTGGTCGTCCTTCTTGCATCAAAACTGCCCCTAATCCATTACCCGAAGCATCTGTTTCTATCACAAATGTTTTGGAAAAATCAGGCATAGCTAGAACCGGAATGCTAGTCATAATCCTCTTCAACTCTTCGAACCCTGTTTGGGCTGCTTCGTTCCATCCGAAGTCGTCTTTTTTAAGTAAAGCTGTTAGGGGTGCTACGATCTTACCGTAATCTTGGACAAAACGCCTATAGTAGCCTGTTAAACCGAGAAACCCACGGAGTGCTCTCACATTCTTCGGTACTGGCCACTTGATGATGCTCTCTATCTTGGATGGGTCGACTGCTATGCCTTCAGCTGAGATGACATGCCCCAAATATTCTATCTGTCGCTGCCGAACAAACTTTTTTTCTGTTCACTATCAACTGATGTTCCAGTAGAATCTGAAGGACGGTCGCCAAATGTCCCGAATGCTCGTTCATCCCCTTACTATAAACGAGTATGTCGTCAAAGAAAACAAGTATGAACCTGTGCAAGTGCGGCCTGAAAATTTCATTCATCAATGCTTGGAAAGTGGAAGGTGCGTTTGTTAATCCGAAAGGCATAACCAAAAATTCATAATGTCCTTCATGAGTTCGAAATGCCGTCTTGTGGGTGTCTTCAGGGANCTTATTGAATAGGTGAGCTCTCAGCTTCAAAAATTCCAAGTCAGGGCTTGATTAGTCAATAACATAAGAACAAAACTTTAACAGTACTGTATATTCCATATCACGGCTTTCTTATTCTTGAGTTACATGCATTACAATTAGACGAAAAGTATTATTCATGATAGAAAAGTTAATCTGTTAATTGAAAATTCTGCAGCTTGTATATAATATGTTCAAGTAATGATTACAAAGAAATACAAGTTAAATAGGTACAAGAGGCTAACATGATAAGCCTCAGTCTATACACAAAGTTAATCACCAAAAGGGTAAGTGTCAGTCAATACACAAAGCTAATCACCAAAATACACAAAGCTAATCACTGAGGGAAAGTACAAAAATACCCTATCTATAATATTATCTAATACTCCCCCGCAATTGAAGCAAGAGATCACGAAACTGCAATTGGAAACAGAGCGACTGAAAACGCTGACGAGAAAGGCCCTTAGTGAAAAGATCAAAAGTTGAGAGGCCGTGGGAACATGCCAAAGATGAAGAGCACCTCGTGCAACAAGCTCATGAATAAAGTGGAGGTCAATGTCAAGATGTCAAGTACGAGCATGAAAGACCGAATTCGTGGCCATGTGGAGAGCGGACTGATTGTCACAAAGCACTAACAGAAAAGAAGTCAAAGGTAAGCCAAGGTCTTGAAGATTGGGGTGAAAAAAAAATCGAAAACCAAACCGAACCAAAAAATTGGAACTAGACAGAACCAAAAATTAAATTTTTTATGAATTCGGTTCGGTTTAGAATAATGGGTAAACCGAATATTTGGTTTGATTTCGGTTTTTAAAAAAAAATAAACCGGTTAACCAAAACCGGATATGAAACCGATTTTTTCAAAAAAAATAATTATTTCCTTTCATTAAATCCCTCTCTCTTTCTGGTTTCTCCGCATTTTATTTTATTAAATACCACTCTCTCATTTCTCCACCTTTTTCTCTTATTAAATGCCTCTCTTTCTTTCCCTCGATTTCTCCATTTTCTCTTTTATTAAATGCCTCTCTCTCTCTTTCTCGATCTCTTCAATCTCCATATTTCACTTCCATTAAATACCTCTCTTTCTCCTTCTCATTTTTAAACTCTCTTTTATTAAATTCCTCTCTCTTTCCCTCTCTCTCTCACTCTCTTTGCAAATACGCATCCACCATTTCTCTATCTTTTCCTTCTCTACAACTTCAGTTTCAACTTTCAATGTTCCTTACTCTACATGATAAAACTTCATCATCAAAACCATAAGCCTATATACTTATATTCTTTACCACCAGCGGTTGTTTTTTTGTTTGAATTTTCAGCTGTCTTGATTGCCATATATAGTGGAAGGCTTACAGCTTTTGGAAGCTAAAAACTTACAAGGATGTTGAGCTTGCCATCAAACATCAAAGAGACAGTTTCCATCAGCTTCTCCCGCTCAGCTCTAATTTTATGTCACAAACTGAGCCGCTTACTTTTAGCCCCTTACTCTTCCATTCCTGAATTCTGGCATCGAGCTCTGTTTGGTTACGTGAACATGTGTGTACTATTGCTCCAAATCCTCCTAGTTCTTCCACTACAGCATATCTGGCAAATATCAACTAGATAGCAAAAACATAAATTGGGCCAAATTGGAAGGTTATATTGAATTTGGCTGACTGGTCCATACCGTTTTAAAAAACCGGTTTAAAACTAGACCGAATTTTCGGTTCAGTTATAAACCGGTTTAAGTAAAAAATCGGTTCGGTTTTTTACTTAAACCGGAATTCAGTTCGGTTCATATATAGGATAAATCGGTTCGGTTAACCGGTTTTTTCCACCCCTACCTGGAGAAGAAAACAAAACCACCGCAAATCAGCAGTAACATGACCAAGAGCACGATACTCAAATTCGGCACTAGAGCGAGACACAATAGCTTGCTTCTTGGTAGTCCAAGAGACGAGATTCCGACCAAGGAATGCACAGCCACTAGTAACAGAGCGTCAAGTAGACACATCAATGGCTCAGTCAAAATCAGAATATGCCAAGAGATGAAGGTCAGAGGCACAATAAAAAGTGAGACTACGAGTGAGAGTACCTTTGATATACCTGAAAATCCGTTTAAGTGCACGTAGATCATAGTGAGTAGGAGCAGACAACCGTTGAGCAACCTAATTTACAGCAAAAACAATATTAGGCCAAGTGAGAGTAGGGTACTGGAGACCCTAAACCATACTCCTATACAAAGTAACATCAAAGAGGAGATGCTCATCAGTAGGAAACACTAATTTAGATGGACTAATAGGCGTAGCACACGAGGCACAAGACTCAAGCTGAAAACGGCGAAGGAAATCCACCATATACCGACGTTGCGAGAGATATAGCATGTGCAGTTCTCGAGTAACCTCTAGACCCAAAAAGAAACCAAGAGAACCCAAATCACGGCAGGAGGTGGAACATAGGTCAGTGACAAAATCAGCAAGATCCGAGGATGACGACCTAATGAGAACCAAATCATCCACATAAACCAACTGAATAACCATGGAGGAAGAGGAGTGGTGGATGAAAAGCAAGGAGTCCAACCTACTATTAACAAAACCACAATCCAGGAGATGATGGTACCATGTCGGTGGAGCCAGTAGCGGATCTAGAAATTTCTATTAGGGTGGGCCAAAATAAAAACTAATTGCACATTAATATTTTTATCTATTAATATTTTTGTTTGGGTGGGCTAAAATCTAGAAATTATACATATTAGTATTTAAAAAAAAAAATTGAGAGTGCTAGGCTGGATCCGCCCCTGCGTGGAGCCTGCTTAAGACCATAAATGGCCTTAGTAAGGTGACAAACATGTGATGGCCGACAAGGATCTGTAAACCCTAGAGGCTACCCCATAAACCCTCCCTCAGTCAAGAAACCCTGAAGAAA